AGATATTCAATTTTACCTTGTTAACTTAAATATTATAATTTGTATTTTACTCATTTAACACTAATTTAAATTCTCTTATACAGCGCATATTGGAACGATGAAATCGACAATCTGTACGAAAGACAATCGCTAGAAAATATATTAGATGAAATGAAAAATATAAATACTGTGGTAAGTAAAATTTAATGATCATAATACATTTTTCTCCATTATTAATATATCTAATTTACATTTTCTTTAACTAACATATTGATATAGAATTAAAGCTATTGAGAAGACTTATTACCGACTGTTCTCCCCAACTTTCTAAAGAATATGCAATCATGGACTTTAGATTCAAAACTAAACGTGTTCGTTGGTATACAAACATGAAAGAAGGAATTGGCCATTCTACAACTAATTTCAACACATTAGCACAATACATAAAAAGGGAATTGCCTGTATCTGCTCGACCGTGGATAACATACAACTATTTATTAATTCCATCAGCATATCTAGGCGACACTTGGTATCTTTTTCTTGTTGATTTTTGAAAGTCAAAATTTCATATATATATATATATATGATTGCAGCCACAACATTTATACATCGGAAGAAATCAAGCACGTGTAGAATGAGTATTGACTATAGTGAAATCATTATTAATCTCTGCAGACATTTTCTTCAGCAAACCAAGTTTAAGAAAACATAGAAATAAACATATGAAATTGAAAATCATACCGTATCTACCTTGTTAAAAGAATGGGTAAGCGTCTCAACAATTTACTATAATATTTAATTTTCTATTTAATTTAATTTTATTTTATGTTTACAGTATTAGTATAATCTAACTTCAAACAATTTTTTCTATAGGCCAAATTTTGAAGTTTTCCTTCTCAAATACATAGAATGCTTTGTTTTCGGATATCCATTAGAAGCAATTTTACCAAAGAAGATAAGTTTATATAGACAAAAAATTGCAACAGATATCTGTCACGATGAATATTTTTCACGTCCCCGTTTGTCCTAATTCTAACGAATTATCAAAACACAGTAAGATTCTTAAAATACAGTAAGAACCCTTTATCAAAATTCAATGCATAATCTTATATTCATAACTTTAAAATTGTTTATTTTAAATATTTCTGTACAGGGGAATAAATGTAGGTTGTTCGATAGCAAATATGACACTACTTAACACATGAGATTTCAAAGTGTCGGAGTCACATTTTATAAAGGAGCAAATTATTGTATTTTGATATCGATTAGCATCAATAATTTCTCAATAAGATTAGTAAATCTATTAAACCGTTCTATAGTTTTAATGTTATGTTTTTTTAACTTTTTCCATTACACATTTATCTATTGCATTAATTAACACTTTTGTAGTTTTAATTGTTTCTAAATTTAAATTTTAATTGTTTCTTATTCACATATTTTACAATGATTTCTGCGTCAAATTAGGACTTCTCAAAATTTTGGAACACCGAATTGTACACAAAATTATACATTTGCCAGGGGGATTTATAGGGAGTGACAACAAATTTTTTTCTGATTTTGCTTTGTGGGCATCTATTATTTTAAGATTTTAATTTGGATTCTAACTTATTATTAGGATAATTCTGATCTTTTTGTTGAAGTTTGCAAATAGAAAAAATGGCGATGGGGAAGAAATTTGAGTCAATTGTGTACAGAGCAAATGAGGGTATGGAATGAAACTGGTGAAGAAGTACATCATTTGGAAGGAAAAGTGTTGCTTTGTCGCATTTTAATTTGGAGTTTGATGGTCATGATGATTGTATATTCACCACACATGCAAAGAGACAGTGCTATGAAGATTCATTTTTCTGTTCAGATAAACCTGTTCTCCAAGCCCTGCCACAAAATGTTCTGGTTAGTACGCTTTTGCTTAATTAATTCTTTCAGTATTGTGAGACGTTATGATTAATTGGTGTAATTTCATGTATATGACTCATAATGAATGATTGTATTTAATTATATTCATTGATTATCAGCAATTTTCGTTAAAGTTTTATGTCTACAGAATAAGAATGTCTTGTTTGTGTCTGTCTTACCGAACTATGTTCTAAAATGGTAAGATTTTTTTTGCATCAATTAAGAATTAAGACTTTGTAGTCCTCAGAATGAGTTTGATATTTTTACTATAATAAGTCTTGATTTGCGATTTTTACTCGAATGGAATAGACTTTAATTGCAAAGCAGTGGCATTTTGCATATAGTACTCCAACAAAGACTGTCAGGTTCCAAAATGTGGACAATTTTCGCGAGTTCAATGAAGTTGAAGCTCCCAATGCTCCAAAGCAGTTGAAGGTTCCAATGTCTCGATTGAGTACAAAGAAGCTAGCCGACATCTCAGTGACCTTGTTCTCATCTGGTAGCGAAGATAATTGGGCACGGAAAAATTTATTAATGACAATGCAAACAAAGATATGAAATTAAAGTTTTGTATAGTTTAGAATTATTTGTACATGTAGAAGCAGTAGCTTTCAGGCCTGTTTTCTTCAACTATTCCATTGAAGATAGTTTGGCTTCTCTTTAATTGTTTGTGAACATGTATGTAGATGAAAGTTTTGAAGCACCGTGCTAGCGCTTCTATTGCACATTGGATCCTGACCAATAGAGCATTTCATAAATTTGAAGCAATTAAAAGTTTAGATCTTTCTCTTAATCTTACTCTTGCTTATCATTTTTCTTTTTTATTTATTTATTTATTTTTTCATTGAAGGATACCACTACAATAGTTGTTGCTTATGAAGTTAATCTCAATGAAACAACTGTTTCAAAACTCATAACAAAAATTATTATTTTGAACTGCTTCTCATATCCAAGGTTAACATATCTTTTACTTTTCTTCGTATATTTAGCTCTTTATCTTTACAGATATCTTGCCAGACTTCCTTATGCACCAACTAAATATTTTCTTCGCTTCCCAAAAATTCATTCAGTGTAATTCTCTCTCGTGAATACTCAATACTCAAGTAAATCAACACACTAATATCTCCTTCAAGAAAATTCAAGCCATGCATTGCATGGCTAGAAACTAGTATCTCATAAAAGATTAGAAGAATAGATCAATTTCAGGTGCTGATTTGGTGCATGAAAATATAGACTACTTGAAGATCACTAATTAGAAAACACCTATTAAGCATTCAAAGGAGCATCATTGCTCACTGCTCTCAGTAACATATAGAGTGTGCATTGTGCGAAATGCATAAGAGAAGTTTTTTTTTTTTTGTTTTTTTTAACATAACTGAATGATTAGAAAATTCAAGTTGCTTAGGGATAGGAAAAACACTTACACTCCTATGTATAAAGGGTATCAAAGTTTTAACCATAAAACAGGACATATGGGTAACACCTTCAAGCATTTCAGGAGTCCAGATCTTAGCCTTCAATGGAAAACATGATGGTCCAAGAAGAGTAATGTCCAGCTGGGTGGGGGAAAAAAAGATGCCATTCAAAAACTAATCCGTAAGCCATGTCAAGATTTACCATAATTCTCAATATATCAATCCACTAGCTTTTCAAGTTTGGGCCGGGGCCCAAAAAGATGTGACTTAAATTCTTCACTATTACTAGGAATCCGGTGCTGTTGAAATGTGCTAAGAACTTTGTCAATTGACTTCTTAACTATCCTTTTGTGAGCTTCCCTGCCCAAAGGCCGTCAAACCAAGTTGATTTTACCAATTATTTAAAATATTCCGTAGGCTTTTGATTTTGATTCCTCGTGCACATATTCATTGGTCTTAAAGTCAACATCAATCTTTATTGTTTAAGCATCTGTTCACCTTGTTTTCGAGTATCACGATTAGAACTAGATATATTAACTTTTGGATCACAGTTTCCTGTCAAACGTATATCTTCATTTGACTGAAAGAGTATGCCCATCACCACCCACACAAAATTTGGGTGACCTTATCTCTAACATTCATTGGCTCAATGCTATCTCAAATGGGGTCATAGAGAACAATAATGCAGAGTGATAAAGTGCAATGGGAGAAAAGGAAAAATTGGTTTACAGTCATCACAAGATGTCTTGATTATAGATTGTGTACTACCAGTCATTAGACATACTGATTCAAGAGTAGGGGGAAGAGGCTTGCTGTAATGAAAAGGACAGCATAAATTGACTCATCTTACTAATCATTTCCTCAAAATCTGTCCGCTAAGAGGAAGTACCAGTGTTACGATTAAATAATATATATATATATATATATATATATATATATATATAGTTTATTTTTCTAGAATTTGGAAGAGAGAATTCTTTTCTTTATTTGGTGTACTTACTTGAGCCGATGAAAGGAAACTTTCACATCTGATTTGGAAGGAGGAGATACTACAAAGTAGCGTTAAACCTTGTCCAGTGGCTTCATCAAGCCACATGAGAGATTTCCACATTAGCAGGCACTCCAGATTTATCAAATTTCTTAAGCAAAGACATGTCAGACATGACATAAATAGTAGCTAAGTGCCTGCAAGGTTCTTCCATGTTGACTTTTAGCTTTTACCCTAGACAAGGGAAGAAATTGTTTCACCGTCAATGGCCTGGAGATTGCTTCAATTTCTCTAATTGAAGGATGACTACGTTCAGTAGTAACTCTGTAACCCAATGAATCAGAGTTGAACTTGGCAAGAAACTATCAAGCTATGTTCCAATTGCAACAGTGGCACTAAGATTTTATGAATCAATATCTCAATCATCTGGGTCAGAAAGAGATTTGATCAAGGGTCCGTACCAATAGAACTTCCTACGTTTTACTTCCCACAACTACAGTTACAGATGTAGAAGCAACCACAAATGACCTTCTAAAGAACATAATATGCCAAAGCAAATTTTCCTGGCAGTTAAGCATTAAGAAACAAGAGAATATCACTAACATACGGTAACATA